ACCTGTTTTGATATGCGTTGTCTTATCTTCGATACGTCAAAAATTCGTGTTTTAGTGACCAAAAAATAGAAAAACGAAAAATTATTTAGAAGATAGCGCCAAGTATTGAGAAAGATTATGTAAAATTAATTTAGCCGTAGTCACATAATATTAAGTATCAACCCGCCTAAACGCTGTAAGAAACCTTATCTGCAGCTCCCGTAATTAACTTTCTCGTGTTTCTAATTTAGTTCGACTTTACCTCCAATTATTTCCACATTTAATTAAATTAAATCAGTCGATAAAAAAATATAAATCGTTTGAAGTTCACAACATGACATGATGCACATTTACGTGTCGCGATAAGCCGAAGAACTTCTCCATAAAGAAACTTACAAACAAGCGCAAGGATTGAAAGCTCGCTCTCCCACGGTTATCAAAATAGGTGATTTGGGTCAAATAGAAGGCGTCCGACACTTCAACTTCCTGATTCACTGGTTCACTTCCGGCGGCTCGGATTGGTGCCGAAAAGCGATTTTTCGCGTTCCGGACTCGACCCCGGAGTAATCCGGACGGTTTGAGGTACACGGGGTGGGTGGAAAACGCGATTTGCGTACCATGTGCGCGAATGTGGGTTACCGGCCGGTGACCGTGCGAGTGTCGTGGTTGCACTGCACGCGAACCCCCCCAACAAGGTTCATCGCAAGAAAGTGGACGCGAATAATGGCCGAATCGCGCGAGTAAGTGTGGACACATGTAGCAGTAGTGTGTAATTGATCGATTTCTTATTCAGATTAATGTTTACGGTAAATAAAACGGCGCTTGCATTACTCAAAACTGACAACGACAATTAAGATGAATAAAACTATTTTGCAATCGAAAACTAAGTTAGTCAAAGCTTTGATTAAAATGATTAAATTAAATTAATTAATTCTTTTGCTAAAAAAAATGTCTTTCAACTGCGTGCTCAAAATATTGATAGTGACTCACGCTTTTTCATGTCTTGTTTTCCGCTCTTCAAAATTGTTTTTAACTAAAAATTCGTCAATTTTTTTCTTATAAAGGAGGATGACCAGCGACCACAGTTTCGGGTAGGAGTTTAGAGGAGTGACCGCAAGCTCATTTTTCAAAAGACATGCTGAACAAARACAACGTGATTGATAACTACATTCACTGAGCTTGCATAATTCATATTAATCCTACGTTTAAAGAGACACAGATAAATCGAAGCATCTATTTGTTAAATCCACAAGATTTGAATCATCACTCTCTCGCCTTGGTTCACAAATCGAGCGTTACGTAAAAAATTAGGACTTATTACCGTTTCAAGGCAACGTCTATGTTTTGATCAGATTGCTAGTTCTTTCTCAGCATGACTTCAACACTAAAAAATCCACAAATGTATCACTTGGATTAATCTGACTTATCCTGACAAATATTGGGCAAGTTTTTGCCATCGATTGGAAGCTTGTGTAATTAATTTTCAAAGCAAAGAGACGAAAATAGTTTCAGAAGTGAGTTCACGCATCATTTGTTGCATATTTTGCATGATGTATTAATAATAGTCGGTACATATTTGATGTTTCTTCACAATCACGCTTGTGTCATCTCATCAAAGCTATCACATTACTCGCTTCTATTCAATTACCGCAACTTGTCGTGAATACACACATGGTGACATATGAACTTCAATCAGGAAATTTAAACGAAGCAGACCTTAGAACAATTTGCCTGAATCGATCCAGGCTAAGCAAATATTAGCACTTTTCGATAGTTTAAAAGAAGGAGGCTAATGTAAAACTTTGCTCTAATGGAAAGAACAAAAAATAAAATTAAAATTTCATTGCAGTCCAAATTTCAGTTGATGTTTCAGTTTCAAGATTAGTGCGTTTTCTCGTTAAAATTTCCGTAATGTATGCTCAAAATTTGAAGTTTTTATGACAGTCGTCAGGCAAAAATTGCTAAAAAGAGCGAGGATAAGTTACATTCACAGCGCTGAGATAAAATCAAGACTGCAACAAAGCAAATGGGGTCCAATAAAGCCCAATCTGCTTTGTTAAACCTTGACAAAGCTTCAATTAAAAATGGAACCAAGTCATTCATTTTCGGAGATTCATCAGCCATTCTTCGGCCGACCCAAAATGAGAGATAGGCATCGGAATATGTATTTTGTGTCTGGCAATTTTAAAGATTTTATTTCCTGAAATCCAATGAAATGTCTTTTGCTTTATAACTTTGACTGAGTCTAGCAGGAAAATAAATCACTTTATTAATTTCACCTTTTAATCAAAGTAATTACATTTCTTTGTTTGGACAATAACCGATTATGTCTGGAAACTAATTATAAGTGTTATACAACGTCGTGTAGGCCCAATCCCGAGATTTATATGTTAGATAGGCGTGCACCCACACTATCCAAAGGATGAGATGTTAAATTAACAATTACCTGCAAGAAAATTACCGACACAATAGAAAACAAATCCCTTTGACCATATTAAGCAAAAACAATATTCCATTAGTGCTTTTCGTGTGTAGGCAAACCGTGTGGAAATTAGGACTGACATCTCGTTCTCGTTTCAGAATCTCACAAAAAAGATCGAAATGTTTGTAAATGTCGGGAGATCAAAGGTCACCGTAAATTCAGTGTAGAGAAAATACAATACCCACACAAAGTGGGGCAAATGCCCAAAAGTGGTCATCATCGAAAGCTGATTTTTGTATAAAATTTTGACAACAGGTGACAYACATTCCAGAACGTRTTTCACCTTACCAAAAACAAACCGAGCTAATTGGTGAYCAATTGTGGTTCAACTGGTGGAACTTCAATAATTCATCTGCAAATGTCGTCGATACAGTTGTATGGATCACCAGTTATCTAGTGACATTGTAATCAATTATAACCAAGCATTGAAACATGACTATAATAAACATCCATCGGTATGTAACAACTTCGTGCTACGGGGAAATGGAACCCATTGAATATCAATAGAACAAGCAAAACTCCGGTGCAAAGACGAGATGCTGAAATTGACAAGATGTAGCTCTTGTTCACATTATATGCCAACACGACGTCCTGAAACCTATCGATTCCGGCCCACTGAAACGCCGACCGTCTCAGCTACGATACGATTCAAATAGAAATTTTTCTACAGCTAAAAAAGTTTTTATTTGAGACAAATGAGACGTCTTGCAGATATACAAACTCCAAGGAAAATGAAACAAAGACAGATGACTTCTTTTGTGTTTAAGAAAGTTTTACTATCTTTTACAATTACCGGACGTAAATTTTATTTTAAAATGCTTCTGCGGCACTGTCAGCTTCAAATAACTGAAATTTATGACAGTTTTACGACGCTACTCGCTGCCACAACTTAAATCCTAGATCAATAGCAATATCTCTTTGAACGTTTGTTTATGATTTTTATGCAACAGCAGTGCGGTTTGTTTTATTTCCAGAATGTGACAATATGTCGACTGAATTTTCAACTCATTAAACAAGTGAAGAAGAGGTTTGSTAGCAGAGGAGTCTTCTCGTTCCTAGTAACATCTAGCTGTCTAMAAAAATATTTTTATACCAGATTAATCGCTATCACATCTCTCCCCTACGGTTCTTTTTGTTCCCGTTACAGTTATCGTTCCCCGGACTCATGAAGCAGCCTTAACCTTGCCACTTGTAATTGTACTCATCCTCTCGACGCTATTGACATAGTCGATCTCGACATTATGTTAAATTGTAYAGCTGGAGGCGCCAGCATCGTCTGTAAGATGCATTGGACGGTCGATGGCTTCTCTGCATCTCCTCCTCGACAGGCTTTGTATTTCTAGAGAATAACATTGCACGCAGTGTTTTAGGCGTCACATCATGTAACGTCGTCCATTACATGTAATATATTGTTCAAGTTCGGTGAGGTTTGCATTTTAATAAAAGAGCACGTCAGATTAGAAATTATGGCAGCTCGGGGAGTTTGCACCTCTCGACGAGGGGAAAACAGCTTTCGATAACAGCCCGATTCTCCGAGTGCCACCGAGCGTCTTCGACATGTTTCATGCAAATATACACGTGTTAGATAACAGCATGATTGGGTGAACATGCGATGAATATCGGAAATTTCAGATAGGAGAGAAGAAATTCAGTTTGCTAGTCCAGAAACTAAGTTATCGGCGATTTCTCGTTCAACGCAAATTCAGGAGCTCAATCTTGGCAAATACCGGATTACATAATGCAGGTAACTTTGTAAATTGTAAACTGTATTAATCATGCAACCAGATGATGACCTGAGAGGTGGACTCGTGACTAAGCTACTCTCCTATACCTCACTCCTAACTGATGATTACAATAGATCATGATCACGTTTCATGAATATATCCTCTGTCTCTCACAGCAATGCTAATCAAAATCACATCTAAATAAATTAAATTGCTTTCTTGCTCCACAAACGTCAGTGTCTCTCTCATTTCCATAAGCTAATTTAAGACAATTGGGTCTCGATTTAATAGTTACAAAAAATTCGTTATCATCTACTCTCCAACACAATTCTACTGCAAACTCAAGGTTACAAAGCTTTTCGTCTTAATAAACAATTGCGCAGGCTTTTTAATGAGTAAAGATTATTTTAGAGGTACCTAAACAATTAACAAACTGTTTAATTACAACCTCCAAACCTTTATCTTTCAGCAATGATTAATGACGGTCATTACAACAAAACCGGACGAATTTTATCTAAGTTTCAGAGTGAARCAAATATTTTAATACAATTTCKTCCAATGATAAATTGRCGGTGAAYTTATCCTAACGTAAATCTACCTTTGCTTCAATTAGTTTTGCTATTATACACATATTTAAACATAAAACTGCACCTGCGTGCATAATTTCCTGAAAAACTATTTAATTTTCCAATACGTGAAGCACGTAAAAGCATTACAAGAAAAACTTTATCTTTATCGCCTTTATTTACGAGGCGTGAGTATCAAATCAGTGCAAGTAAAGTTGTTTAGTTTTCAGTCATTTTGCATCGCATAAATCAAGCGTTTGAGTAAAAGTATCGGTGCAGTGTAATACAATATTTTCAGAATGTCAATGAAACTGCAATATACGCCCACCAAAACCAAATCAGAGCAAAAAGATGAAAGAGAAATAACGGTGTAGAAAAATTTTTACAAGTCAATGAAATAATGTGATTGGTATGTAATTGATTATTTAAAGCGATTGTAGTTATGATTTAAATGTCACTTAGATATTTCAATTAGGTATGGAGTAATCAGATATGACTAGCATGTTTGCCAACCCACCACTTTAATACCAAGAGAATTTTTGCAGTACATTAATTCAATTACATCATATTGAAGACGTGCCCAAAATATCAAGAACTTGTTTTCAACCTTCACGTAGGCAACACAGATTACTTTACATCCTTGAAGACACCACTTAAAATTAAGACATTTTTCTTCATTAGGAGCGTTTACATATTCATTAGTTCTATAAATAACAAAATCTTAATAATAGTACTATAAAACCGGTCATAACCCGGCACACAGTTATGTGGAGAAAACTTAAAAAAAAAGAAAAAAAACACATGCATACTGATGCGATATTAAAAGGGCTATTATTTAGATATTATACGATCAATATCCTGCTTTTATCACGCAATCCTTTTTTATTTTAAGTCAAGACAAAATAATTTGAAAGTTTTAACGCCATCTACCTTATTTATTCATGATTTTACTMAGACTCGTGTTTAATAAATCCTACAGACGGAAAGAATCGACTGAGACCCATGTCAAACAGTAATAAGCTTTCACATCAGATTTTTSCTTTTTTATTAATGTTTGACCTATGATTGATCGATTATAGACGTGTCWGATTATTTTTTAATCGAGTGTTAACTTTGAAACTAGGACAAACTGATGATGTCCCAAAGTCACAACAATTAGATTTGTTGGAGGTAAAAATTGGAATCGTGACCAATTGTTTCCAAACAACTACAATAGCAGAAGAAAAAGGAAAATGTGTGGGGTCCTTGCATTTTCAATAAACAATAGACTACATTTCGAATAAGGTTTATAGCTATTTTATATTTTACAAAACAATAAATCTCATCTAATCTTTTTGTGTTAATATTTAGTGTTAAGCTTTGAGGAACGCCTGTCCTTTGACACTAAAATAGTTTAGATTAGAATTTTTGAAAAAAACCCGTAAATATCAGTTATTATTTTCTTGACATTTATGACCAATATAATGAATGCCGTGGTTAGAAAATTAACTATGGGTTCTAATTAAAGGCCAAATTAATTTGGAACTGTAAAATAATTTCTTTTCCTTTTTTAGACTGAATAAGACTTTGGATTCTTAATTAGAAAGATTATTAAATCAAACATTTGCGGAATAATTTACACGACAAATCAAAATTCCACGAAACAAATTAACATAACTTGATAAGAAGAACATACAAAACCCAAGATCAACCAACTTGGCGATTATTCTTGCATAGTTACTATTTCCTGGTTTACCATATAATATAGCCACAGCACATAAGTTCAATAATTGTGTTTCCAACATCCATTTATAATTTGTAGTCTGTCGACTAATTTAAGTCTTCTGATAAATCGACACCACGGACCATGTGGCACCGAAAAATAACAAAGTGACTAGAGGCGGTGGTGAACCCACTCACTTAATTTTGACTGATATGTTATTACAAAAACGTCAAAACTTATCTGACATTGTTAAATTGAAGCTTCAACTAAAATTTAAACTGTTTTTGACTAACAAAAACAAACAATTAGATTGCTACAAGGAACAATTAAGTGACGTTAGAGCAAACTTACGCAATGCACGTATTTATTTGCATGTGAATTCGAGTAAAGTCTGCGACAAGGCCGTTTTTATTTACATGTACCATTAAAGTTACCCATCTAAAAACAAACGACTCCGAAAGCATTATTTGCAGTGCTAATACCAAGGCTGTTTAAATACTTGTTGCATCAAAGATGTGATCTTACCAGCAAGTCACGTAGTGTTGTAAATACAATTAAGGCTCAAATTTCCAAGTTTTTTGCCAATTTCAAGCAACTATGCGGTTTAATTCCGCGAACCGCAGCTTTTATCAGAACGAAACGGCGCAAGGTGATAATTAATTCCCGCGCAAGCTTTCGTCCAAAATCGCAAGAAATGATTCAAGGGATAATAAATCTCCGTCCGATCAACATCTGGAACTCACTGAAATTACTCTCCTTAGCTAATCGAGCATTGGATGCGTGTAAAATAATATCCGGCTGAAAGTGAAAAATCAAGGATTTTCGAATGCAACGAACTGAGAGTCTGAACTTGGAAGTAAAGGTTAATGTCAGTCGTGTGTGCCGCAATTAATATCATTTTAATTCAAAATGTTTACGGTGTCGTAAATAACTCGCCAACATAAACTGCACAAAATTGCATTCACCGCACCTTCGACAAGAAAAACCACACTTGCCACTATCACAATAATTTCACGCATCTAGGCGAGGGAATTTTTATTGGACTTGAGCTGACCCACAGAGTGCTTTTTATGGGTCAGTAATTGCACTTGGATGTAATTTCAGAATGTGGTTTCCTTTCATTTATCACAAAATTGAAAGTTTGGGGTCTGATCAGTCAGCGATTCCCACAGGATTAATCCATTCAATTTAACTAAATAACTAATGGCCTCTTTGGATGATACATCGTTAAAAAGTGATTTCTTTYATAGCGTAATTAGATTACGGGAAATTTGTGGTCAAAAATTTGATCACAATTGGACGTAATTTCCGTACTGTTATGTTGGCAATAATTAATGTGTAGCTGCGCAAATTTTTCTTTTCTTAATTCAGATTTCTGCTCGAGTGAGCATTGCTCGTTTCTTGTGGCTTATTACYGCMCTATTTTTTCCAAAATTCGCACAAAATAAATTGAGCAATCGCGAAAGTTTTCCAACGGTACTAAATTCCAGTTTCCTGTTATTTATTTAATTTGGTAAATTAGATCCGGCAAATTCCATGTTAGCTTAATCTAAATTGGTACTGATTAGAAGCAGTGGTAAATGACATCATCAGGTAAATGGGCTAACCCAACGGTTTCTGATTRATATTGATTTTAGCAAAGTCAATTACAAGACGGATCTTTTAAATCAACAAAAACCAACACCGCGGAAACGTACCATTATCTATGGTCACGTCCTGGCAAATTTCAGCAAGGTCGCATCAACTGAGAACGGTTTTAATTAATCCTAATTAAGAAACTTAAATTAAGTCAAAGTAGTTTTTCGGAAACGCTACATGTAATCAAAGATGGAGAGTCGTCAAATTCGCTCTAGAGGGTCCCCTCCCAATTAGTTTTGGGTTTTTATGTGACGTCTTGGGATTTGTTTGTCTAAAATATGACCACGAATAAAATTTTAATAACACAGTCATGGGGCACTGGCGTCATTTGGAACTTCATCCCCTCGAAATCGCACTTTAAATAAATGATAGGAGGTGTAAGTGTGAACCACTTCGTTATCATACAAAACGTTGGACGGTGACGTTTTCTTGATTAAAATTTCATGCCCTCGGTTTAGATTCGTTGTATATTATAGAGGGACACACTATCGGGACACGGGACCCTTTAAAAATGTTTGCCGTAAATGTCTCAGAATAATTTAATACATGCCACCCTCGCTAAATCTCATTTATTTTACATTCCGCGATTTTCTCCTGGATATCCGGTGGTGCACTATTCTGACGGAAATAAGRGCAATGTACCGGTACAAATGCCGGTCTAGGGGACGGATTCGTTTGTCTATTAATACCTGTGGCTTGGGATTCATAATTCACAAAAGCAGCACGCAAAGAAACGATCCACATTCTTCATACAGAATTTTAATAATAACACTTGATGGAGAAGCTGCCACATTGCTTTTTACTCGTACCATAATGTATAAAAAACGTTTTTGTTTTTTTTGCAAAAAATATTGTTTTTTCTCCTCACATACCAAGAAGAAGACACAAAACGATATAGGTATACTTAACAAAAAAGCATATATAATTAGGTAAAAATTCAACATAAAATGCTGTATAGGAAAACTGAGATTTTTTCGTTACAAACCAAAAACAACAGCAAATGATTTTTTTATATTTTTCGACCGTTTTTATGTTGTACAAAGAGAGGTTCAAGAAAGACCGATACACCGAACATTAATCTGGTTTTGTCTTACCAGTTTCGCATGTATTTAATGTATCTTCAGATGCTACAAGAAGCTAAGATTCAAAAAAATTATTTATCGCTTWACGCCCAAATCTAAAATGCAGTATCAAAAAATARCGAGAAAATAGGAAAATGTGTAGGTGGGTTACTTACTAAGGAAAGAACTATGAATGCAGTGTGGCAATAATGGCAGGAAASCTCAACTCAGTTGAATACATTTGTTTGATAATAATTATTAATTGGCCAATAAACTGGCTAATCGAACGACCAACCTTTTCAAACAAGCAATTGTTTGATTAATCGATTATTGGTTCCACGACAATAGCAAGCTGGTTAAAAAACTGGTGGACTTTTAAATCGAAAGCATAAATAAAGCCGTTAGTTTTGTATTGTGACAGATTAAAAGCACATTTTGACAGTAATTAACACAGGAGAGTGAGTGTCTCGAATAGATGGCGGCCATACCCAGCGGAAATGGAGGAAGTGGCGCTTAAAAAATAGTGTGAAACAGCTGGGTGCACACTCCGAATCAATTAAACTCTAAATCATTGAAATTTATCCGAAGAAACCGTTCGTGAAAAAAAGTAAATTAAAAATAAAAAATACTCCATCTCGAGGGTTTCAATTCGAGGCCTCTTTGTCTTGCACTTTCCTACTTTCATTTTCTCCCAGCTATTCCGTCTAATTAAACACGTTCCGTATAAAATTTTACGATTTCGTCTTGAGTTGTGTCTATTTTAGGCATTTGTTAACGAACCTCTTGCATTCAACAGCACTCTGGTGAATAGATCACAAGTGAGAGAAAAAAAACTGTTAGGTCACTTATTGAAATCGAATTAGAATTGTTAATTTATTTAAATAGCTGCCTATTTAAAATCCATTCGAGATGAATAATCTCTCTGATAAACAGACCTAACAAATTGCCAGATCATTAATAAACTTCTTCCTGGGAGGAGATCCGGAGAAAAAGTGTCAGGGAGGATAGTGACTAATTTCCCTCACACATCACCGGCGCGGAAGTGATATTTACACCATCCGCGTGATTTAAAATTGAGAGTTTTATATCGCAATTTAGCCAAGTGAGAAACCGCCTCCGCAACAATTTTCTCTAAAAACCGCATCTGAAAGCTCTCGCACGAAAAAATCTCTTCCTTAACGAACCCAGTTCGAAGCAGAATTTCTACGCTAATTGTCTTGATTCAAGGTGGCGGATGAAGGAGTTCTTACCTGAAACAAAAAAATAAATTACTAGAAATTCGGTTTCGATCATGCAAGTCGGATGTGCACGTGCATAATTATCCACGTAAAAAGGGAAGACGTCCAAGGTCTTGCTCGGACGGCCTTTACGGTTAAATTCAACCACTTCCTTCCACCTGCTGTAAAGAATTCGCTTTTCAGACACGCCGCTTAAATATTACCATCCTGGTTTCAATGCCAAGGTGCGCGAGGAAGTCAACTGGAAAATCTGCACAAAGTGCAGCTTTTTTCAATAGGGATAATTTACTGACCTAGCATGACACCAAAATGAACAGCTATATCCCAGTCGGAAAAAAATACAAGTTGATACCTACTTAATAAAATAATAATCTTGTTAAATAAATATTTTAGT